CGACCCCCGACGACCAATGACCATCCAAGTGGCGCGCAAGTCCTTCTCTGAGCCTCCCGCCACAATCTCCATCAAGATGAGTCTTTGATTGAAGATCGAATGATTTGTCGAGCAGAATTAGAGTGTGCTGGCTCTTCTTTGCCTACTCTGCAAATGATTCAAGCTATCCAGGGATCACCTCCTCAAGAAGTTCGAGATAAATTTGGACTGACCCTAAAGCAGGGACTTCTGTTCAAACAAGGTCGAGTTTTCATCCCCGAAGGACATGTGAAGGCGATTTTGAAGTATTTCCATGAGTCCGGCTTAGGATCTCATTGCGGGGTTTTGAGAACTTATAAGCGCTGCCGGCAATTATTTTGGTGGACTGACCAGATGAAATCAGTTCGAGATTATCTAAGTTCATGTCTGACCTGTCAGAGGCGTCGAAGTGGCAAAGAAAGATTCCAAGGCTTCTCTAGACATTTTCCTCTTGGACAAGTATTCGAATCGGTTCACATCGATTTCTGGGAACCAACAGTTGGAGACACCAAGATCATGACTATGATTGATAGAACCTCACGATGGGCTGAGGCAGCGATAGTTAAAGATAAGACAGCGAAGACCGTGGTGTCTACTTTCATCAAAGTATGGGTTTCACGATATGGTGTTCCACGTCAGATTATATCTGACAATGACAAGGCCTTCCAAGGACTAATGATGGGAGAATTAGCGAGGTTACTTGGAAGTGACCTTGTGGCAATTACGCCACATCACCCTGAAGGAAACAGTCCGGTTGAATCATTCCATAGACATCTCAGGAAACATCATCATCGTGTATTACAGAATGAACTTTTAGATGCAGAAGAAGGCTTGGCGCTTACTCTATATCTGTACCGAACGAGTTACCACACATCACTGGAAGACACCCCCGGGCATTGGCTTTTCGGTGTGCCAGTTACTACACCTGAAGAAAGGGAAATCTATGATTTGATCTATGATTCAAACGCGGAGAGAGCCGAGTGGTTTAATCTTATCAGGAACAAAGACATTGAGATTATGGAGAGAAAAGCCGAGAAGCATGCTGATTCTGGGAACAAGAAACGAAATCATACACAGATTGCGATTGGTGATCTGGTTCTCTCAAAAGACTTCAGACAAGTTGGCTCGAGGATTTGGAGTCTACCACAACAGATCGTTTCTATGAGTGAGCTAGGGTATAATGCGAGAGTGAAGGACATTGAGTCAGGGAAGATACAAACGAGACATCTTACACACTTGAGGAAGATAAACAGACCATCCACCCCTGGACAATTTAGCTCGTGGCTAAGAGAATATCAAGGCAGTGGTTTTTCTTTATCACGTGAGGACCTTTTGGAAAATATGTGTCCACCGGAGAGTCGTTTCGATTCACCGATAATGAGCCCGCGGGGCATCCCCAGCTCAGATCCGAATGACACAGAAGACAGTGGTACGATAGTATTAATAGGTGATTCTCCTTTCAGTAATATCGGCTCTCCTAATACCGCTGTTGACCCTAGCACCAATGATTTTGTGAGTCAGAATTCGCACAACGCCGAACGGATTCGTAGCACTTTTCGTTATGAACCAGTAGAATGGATTGATGAATGACCTTGATTTCGAGCGTCAGCTTGTCTCCAGCAGAAGCCGCTCCGTTAGTCATAAATTGGAGAATCATGTACAAGGAATAAGGAATCTCGGATGGCATTAATTCTAGACAAAACTGCCTGTTTGGGCAAAACGTCTATCCTACAAAAGTTCGCTTCAGAGGGGTTCAAGGTCATTATTGGAGATTATGCAGAGGATTGCATTCAATACGGATCATTCAAGAACAAGAATAATGATAATGTGCTTGAGCTTACATATATGTTATTCCAATTTAGTAAGTTGAGGCCTAACGCTCTCCATGATAGAGGGCCTTTGAGCTCTTTAGCGTACAGAATGGTCCATGATATTCTAAACGGCAAACATACATTGCAGGAGTTCGAGGTTCTGTTTACTCAACTCCCTCCCGAGATCTGGAGTGTA